TATTCAAGTATGGTAAGGCGCTTGACTAAACAGATTCAGGACTAGTCGCCAATAGCGAATTGATAAACTTTCTCATCATTTTTAGAATTTTTGCAGGATCCTTCCCAGAAAATTTATATTCAAACTTTGTATGGGTCTGCAGAAGACGTTTGACTTTAACTGCAGATCAAATTTTTTATATTTTATAAAATTCTTTCATAGTTGTTCGAAGAGAAGAGCAGTGCAAGTTAATAACTCGAGCTTTCGGTGGGAAACGGTAGAGTTTATCCCTCCCTTCTTCTCGGTACACGGGAGGGCGGATACCGATGTTTTATTATAAGAACCGACCCGTCGTTAGCATATTGCAAGTGAGTTTGAAAGCCGTCCTTTTAGCTTGGTCTGCTGTGTAGTACACAGGAAAAGGAGGGTACACAGTGTGTACCCTCCGAAACTAATGTAGGTTTGACCAATCTTGAGCATAACTGAATAAGATGAAGACTTTTAACACTGATAGAGCTATGTAGAAAAACATACTTAGCACTATCAAAAAAAGGTTTTACAAAAGCTAAAAAGCAATACAAGTCATCAAAGTTAAAACCGCAGTTTATATAACCTGAAGCAGTGCCGCGCCAAATCAATCAGAAAAGTTCCCTAAATCTGGAGCAAAGTGTAATTTCAAACTGAAAAAACTTGCACTGGAGTTCGGCTAGGAGTTGCGCTTAGTATTGTACGATTCTTATTGTAGGTTAGTTAATAAACTGAGAAAATATTCATAAATGTTCAACGAAACCCAGCTCGACGAGAGAGAAAATAAAAGGCGAGAATGGTGATATTCGCTTTCGTCATATTTAGATAACTTGTTCTCATAACTTTGATGAACGTCTGACAAAATTCTTTTCTCTCAGGCAAGGACTTTCCGGCTGTGGTAATCGCTATATGACGAAGACGAAGAAAGGATTGTACTGTAATTTACTTAGTTACTCTAGAAGAGCATCTGTTCCAGGTTGAACTATTGAGAAATATACATCTTAACTCCTTAACAGTCCCGTTTTTGTAAATAACATCTTTTGTAAATAGCCTAATTGATATCAGAGAATAAAGGATGTTGTTTAAGCTTGTTCTGTTGATACTAAGTGCTATTGCTTATGGTAAACAAATTCCAATTCCTACTCGTCCCGAAGGTTACGGTATTATTGGTTCCCCAGATGCTAATATTATTGTTGAAATGTATTTGGATTTATTGTGTGATGATTGTCAAGCATCATGGCCAACTATAATGAGTCTCGTTTATTATTATGATACTCGAATCCAATTTCTCATACATCCATTTCCTTTTCCCTATCACACGAATTCATTTTTGGTAAATCAAGGGCTACATGTTGTGGCCAATGTCACTGAAGGGGCAATCAATTTAATTAAAAAATACGCACAACTTGCACTTCAACATCAGTCGACCTGGTACAATGAAGCAACAATGAACATGACAATAACAGAAGTAATTCAATCAGTGGCAAATTTTATTGTGAATGACGTACAAGTAGCCACTGTCGATAGAGTCATGAGATTAATGCAAGATAAAGATATTAATGAACGAACAGTAATATCGTGGAAATATGCATGCAGTCGAGGTAGGAATATAGTCACTCACTTATTGTCATATTTCTAGTCTTAGAAAAATATTTATAACACAGAGAGAGAGAGAGATTACATATAAAAAAATACTATAGTTTAAATTGAGAATGAATTCATATAAAAATCTTACCAAAGCTAAACAAAATTTACACCTTTTATCAGTAAACAACATCAAATGGAAATTACCAAGATTTACCAAGGTTTTTATTTTCTCTGTTTTTCTCACAATTGGCACCTAAAAAAAGTCGTGAATGTTTTTCTTTCATGATAATCACACTTTTGTAGTTGGTGGTGGTGAAGACATAAATGTCAAATATGTATCCTGATAAAAAAAGTCTTAATTTAGAAAAGAAACATTCATGTGTGCCCCAAAGTTAAAAACTTAGTTATTCAGAAAGATCATACAAAAATAGTTTTAAGAATATAGATTTTCATTTCTCACTTCTATCTGAGGTGAAAAAGAAGACGCTATTTTCACTTGACAATAATCTTTTTTCATTAAAAAAACATAATTGTTTATATGAAATCCAGATAGAAAATTGTAAATAGAATAAAGAGCTTAAATGGCAGAGAATAATGCAGTCAGTTCACATCATCTCTCAGTCATTAGTTTGAAATTTATTTTGACAGTAAACTTTATGCACTGTTTCTTTTTATTGTTTTAAAATATTTTATTCGAAGGGGTCTTTAGTACACCAACATTTATGGTGAATGGTGTGTATGTAAGTGCCGATCCATCGTGGACATTGGATAACTGGAGATCGGTTATTGATCCTCTTAATCCGGAATGTCCATCAGGTCAAACTTTGTGTAATTTTGCTTCCAATATGAATCAGTGTTGTCCACCGAAAGACATTTGTATTGAAAATGTTGGATGTATTCGATAAATATAAACAAAACAACAAACGTTTCGACCTCTTTTAATTGAGGTCTTCTTCAGTGTACGTAATAAAATATATAAAAATAAAATATATAAAGTAAAATAAATAATATAGTTAAAATTCTATTTCATATAACTTGTGCAGATTCAAAATGTACATTTTAAATCAGCATACAAATGAGCATTTTATATCTGCTGAATTTTGAACAAGTATACTGAATAACAGCAATGCTCGATATAAGCTATAGATGGATATTCGTTTTCTCCTTTTGTTCGTTCACCACCATAAAATACGAAAAGAGAAAATGGAAAGAAAAACATATATATTCAGAACGAAAAAAAAGAGAGAAAGCAATAAAATGCGTTAGTTTCCACGCAAAACTAGTTCTTCATCTATTTCTCGAAAACTAGACTAGACACTAAAAAACAGACGCCAGATTCGGAATCTACGTAATAAACCGATCAGAATATATATACCGTTTTCTTCTAAACCGGACGCAAGTAGAATCGACCCGATTTGCTATGTATATCACAGCTCGAAATGACGTTATGAAAAAATTCTCATGAAGTAAAACATCACCATATGATCCTGTAACAAAAAATGTTCTCCTAATTAAGAGCTACAGGCTCATATAAAGTGAGTCTAAACAGATGAACTTTACCATCAAAACAGCCTTCTCCAACTTTCTCCTTGTTTTCCCACGGCAAAGTTAACTGTAACTATACTTGGGAAGCTTTGTCTGCTCATCACTTTTAGGAAGTAAACTATTCTGAAATGAAGTAGTTTGAAGCTGTGATCGCCTGTCTTTTAGTCTGTCCTCGTTTACAGATGGGCAGGTGAGGGTGGAATCGTATCGCAAGAACCATGCTTTTCCAATAGCATTCAATACCAATACCACTTTACATCGATACTATCTGAGACCACTACCTTCAACATAGAGAGTATCAGTCTCGGTGCACGTCTGGACGGAAACGTATATCTCTGCTGCTTTAATGTACACATGTCTACTTACCTAAACCATACGTATCACAGCAATTCTTCAGCGAACTTCAACTGTCAGAAAACTGCAGTAATATTCCTGCGAACGCCATAAGCCTTCAGCTGAAAAAGTACGGTTCTTGCGATATGATTGTGATTCTGTGAATAACATTAAATGAATTAGTTCAATGTCGATCATTCTTTCCGAAGTTAAATCAATTATTTGAATTATTAACCGTTTTATCCGTAACAGTTGCAATAGCTAAACAACTATTTTCAACAATGAAATTTATTAAAAATTGTCTACGCAGCAGTACCGATGATAGTCGATTAAGTAATCTCATTCATATTCATCGACAACAAGCAAAAGAATTGAAAGGTGAAGATGTTGTTAATGAGTTTTGCAAAGACAAACGTCGAATCAAAGTCATCAACGAATGAACAGAACTGCTTTCTCTACTCTTAAACTTTTCGAGACATTCCTAGATCTTCTTCTCGTTTTCTTTCCGCTTAAAAAACCTTTTTTCTTGTTGTTATCTTTTGTAGTAACTTAGGACAGTCAAAGCGATTAACATCATGAGAAGATAAAACCAAGAAAAAGTTATGGTTCATCTAACTTTAAAATGGAAATTCAGACTAGTGAAGCTGGATTTATTTCCGAGATGCCCACCCCTTACCAAAATCCTGCCTATCTACTTAAAAACTGATTTTTAACGGTTTAGATTTCAATTTGCGACTTTTCTGTGTTGTTCTCATTGTCAAGTCCTTTTCTTCGAGTTCACATGAAATTCACTGATGCTATACATATTCTGAAAGTTCACAAGAAATACTGTGATTTGATAAAAGAACTGACGTGGGAAAATTCTTCTATCGTTTCAAAACTTAAGCAACACTGCAATTAATTATATGGTGTTTTTACGCTTATCAAAGTATTTCTTAAAATGTTTCCTTAACAAAAGTTTCCATAAATAAGTTTTATACATATTTGAAAAGTATTTTGAATTCTCTGTCGATTGATGTATAGTTTATTCAAAATGTGTTTCTTCCTCATTTAATTAGCTACGATTTGCGTAGAGATGATGAAAAGAATCCAATCTTGCCACATTAATCATTTTGTAACGACGAAAATATGTAGTTTAAATAGAACAGATAAGTTTGCTCTACAAATCTCCGCGTTCAGAAAAAAGTTTAACTGCATAAGTATCCTGGAAAAGCTATTATTTGAATTTTCGAGGCTTCTAGAAAACGTGCTTGAAAGCCACGAAAAATCAGTTCTAGGGCTGAATGCGATACAGATTCTGAAAGTAGACACTTCATGCTATCTATTCATGTGCTTAGCTCAAAATCGATTTTTTGCTTCATGTTTTCTCGTGAAGAAGTCAACGTTTCTACAAACGTTTTACCACAAGAACTTCAAACGTAAAAACGTTTGTTCCATATGCTTCTATCAATCATTTGAGTTCTATAAGAGAAGAAGGCGAAGTCTTATTCTCAGTACCTTCTATATTTCAAATTGGAGAAATGAAACAATTCGATGATGGTGTTTGGAATATACAATTAAAAATGACGGCAGACAATGACCAATGACCAACAGCTTCGACAACTCGGAATTTATGTTCGTCAGAAATTTCTAGTAAATCAAGAAGTTTCTGCAATACTCGATCAAGCAAGAACAAAATCACTTGAGCATTCTCATGTCATTGCTAGCCATGAAAATATGCTCAAATTTGTTCAACTTATGCTTCATATTCATCAATTTAATGATGCACTACAAATATTATTTGAACGCTGGACAGACTTAGTGGATGAAGATACAATTACTTCTAGACAGACTCTATCAGTCGTTCAAAGTTTTGTGAATCCTGTGGAAAGATTATCAAAAGGATCGAACATTGATCAAAATCTTTTAGAATCGATTGAAAATAGACTTAATGATTCACCTTCCACCGATACAAGTGAGTTAGCGAACTTGTATAACTCAGCGGCTTGCTTAACAAACGATCTTGATAAAGAATTAGACTATTGTTTGCGTCATTTCAAACTGCTTGAAGAGGCAGGCCATATGACAGCTACGACATTTATTCAGCACTATCTGCAAATCGGTGACATTTTTTTTGAACAAGTTCGTTTGGATGATGCCTTAATTAATTATCAAATCGCACTGAAAAAAGCACTCGAGTCTGAACCAACAACAAATCCTCTGCTCGGTAATTGCTATTATAGAATTGGTTTTACTTATCTAAAATTAGAAGACTTTGAAAGAGCATTACAGTATCATAAAAATGCTATAGCTATTTATTCCAGATCACTTCCACCAACACATCTAAGTTTTCATAAAGTATATTTGGCATATGGAGTTTGTCTGATGAATCTCAATCGTTACGAGGAAGCAATGGAATATTTTCAAAAAGCCATTGAAGTGCATCGAGCTTATCCTGGTCATGAGTGTGTAGTCGAAGCAGAGCAACAATTTGCTGAAATATACTGTAATCCACAAAAAAATGGAATTGATCGTAAGAAAATGGATGACTTGATTGCAAAACTAGATAAATTAGGAGAAGAGTGAATGTCAGTGTAATGACATATCTAAGGAACTCACGCCCTCACCACCTTATAATGCACTCATGTTTCAGTTTCTTGTAATCATCAATCATGATGTTGTAGAGATTTGCAAAAGTCGGATGTGGTTTGATGTAAGCATTAAAAGAATATCTCATTAGTCCAAGGATAAAGAGATAGTAAAGGATAATACCATAGTTTGCTTCTGGCATAACATTTTCAATGGAATCTCTTCCTGACTCATCAAAGTCATGAATATAACACAACCTCTTTGTTTCTTCGAGATAGTAAATCAGGAACTCCCTTCGTTGATCCATTCCGGGAATAGTATGACCAGTCAGCTTGTTTTCTTCGTTCCATTGAAACACGAAGTTGGAGAAATGACCACCGATGTCGAAAGCTCTTTCGCAACATGATAGCTCAAAGTCACAGATAAGTACTCGAAGTTCACCTTCAACTTCAGTTTTCTGAACCAACAGATTCATGAAGTTTGAATCTCCGTGGTATGTTAATAAGTTGAACAAATTTGAGCATATTTTCATGGCTAGCAATGACATGAGAATGCTCAAGTGATTTTGTTCTTGCTTGATCGAGTATTGCAGAAACTTCTTGATTTACTAGAAATTTCTGACGAACATAAATTCCGAGTTGTCGAAGCTGTTGGTCATTGGTCATTGTCTGCCGTCATTTTTAATTGTATATTCCAAACACCATCATCGAATTGTTTCATTTCTCCAATTTGAAATATAGAAGGTACTGAGAATAAGACTTCGCCTTCTTCTCTTATAGAACTCAAATGATTGATAGAAGCATATGAAACAAACGTTTTTATCGAAGTATCAACATCGATTTCAAAGATCATACTTACGAGAGAGACATGATTCTGATCGATGCTCGATGCAAAACTTCTTGCCGTATCTTCTGAAGAAGTTGTCGAAAGAAAACTATTGAAGGCAATGAGACCAGTGCTATCAAAGACCATGCGGTTACGGGACAGAAAAAAGGATTTTTTCGGGATCACAAATTCTGAACAAATTTATGAAAAAACAGAACAATCAGTAATAAAGATAATGATGTAACTGAGTAGAGCGAAGAAAATTCTATAAGAAAGGGAGAAAAAATATATATTGCTCCACATAAAATAACAGAGAAAATAGCATTTACAAAACCAAACGTATCTGAATCACCAGAAAGACAACATCAAAATAACGGTCAAACATGGATGTTTTGCTTATAATTCGTTTACGATTAAACATAGAAAAGTCGTACTTGCAGCGATTATAAGCCTAACGTTGATGAATATATGCAAGATGTCCGAAGGCGATTCATCAAGACTCAGAAAAGAAACGCTTGGAATCATTTACATCATTCAAACGGTACTATTTTTATCAGAATCACTCATATATATATATATACCAGCCCCATGTATATGAGCCAATTGCAATTTTATTGTACCGTTTGAATCCAAAATGTGAATAAAAAAACTCTCCGGGCCCTATCGACCGATCTTCATTATTTTATTATTATTTTGTTTCTCTAATTTGTCCCCACTACCATGGGAAAAAGGATGACTTTATACCAATGGGATCCTGAGATATTGGGCGCACAAGGTCCAAAAAGCCGGTTTTTACCGCTACCTGTCGTTAAGAAATGCTTCTTATCTAATTTATTCTTCATCATTGACACCCAGCGATTCCATCAACTTATAGTAAACAGTCTGGGGTTTCAGAATATGTGACTGATTAGCATCGTGATCACACTTACCTCGATCATTTTTTATAAAAAATCCGTTTACAATCAAAACACGATTTTCTGTCACGCGAGATTAAAAACGATGCCCAGACTGAACAGCTAATCTGAAAATGCTCAGGAAGGTGTTGAATGAAAGCCAACAATCGGGGGCATAAAATGATAAAGAGACGAAAACAAGCACATTTTGTCGTGGTAAAAAAAATCTGAAACAGAATTAAAAATGACGATTGTCACGCTAAATGTCACGCGAGATTATTTGTTTTGTTTTATCTACAACTCTCTTATTTTTTGACAGTTTGAGACGAAACTTGGCGCATTTTATCTACTTATTGGGGCAACTTCTCGTGAAATGAACAGTGTCTGAGAGTTTACGGTTGGCGAGAAAACTGAGAATTACTGAAAACTGTCACGCGAGATTTTTTTACGAAAAAGTGTCACGCGAGATTAAAAACGATGCCTAGACTGAATGGATTATCTGAAGGCCTGCTAGAGGTCTTGAATGAAAGACAAGACTCGGGGGGCATAAAATCGTGAAAATATAAAAATACGCGAACCATGTCTTGGCGAGAAAAATTCCCAACAAAATGTCGAACTACCCATCTGGCAGATTCTTAGAATAATTCAGCATTATGATGCATTATTTGTAAATTCGTGCGTTTTAATGCATTATTTTCA